GATGAGCTCCGTTCGCGCTACACGTCCGGACTCCGCACCCCAGCGGGCCCTTTGACGCATTACGCCTGACACCTATTTATTCGGATAGTTTGTTCAAACTTATGACCAATGTAACTTTAACTTTGTTGAGCCACACTTTTCCTCCGTCGGCTTTGACCTGCGAGGGCCGGGAGGGGTCTCCAACTGTGGTGTGTACTAGCAACGTAAAACATGGGTTTATACGTGCCAACGCCTATTCTAATGATTGCAGGCAAATATAAATTGACAGGTCTGATGGTAAAAGTGGTTGTTAGTACAAAGCCCTCGCTTGTGCAATGTGTGCTTTGAATATTTGATTTTGACTTGTCTAGCGGCGGCTCTATCGTAAGCCATCAAAGCGATGCAACGTCAAAGGTGCTTACAATTGAATTGACGTTTGCATGAAGATTTCATTTACAAGTATCTTAGGAGAATATTTTATTATTACCGTATTAAGAGATTAAATGATTATGCCTAATGAAAAAGTATCAGAAATTGTCAATTTAATAAATTTTAACGCTCTTGTTTTAAGATAAAGAAATTGGTTACTTCATTTGTGGCCTTTATCCATAGTTATGTATCTTGTTAAAATACTTCTGATAAATTTAAGTTAATGGCTGACATATTTAAATTATTACACGTAAAAACACGCTTTGTAGTTCAATTTTATTTCACATATATATTTTATAAAAACAGAGAACAAACTGAACCAAAATTAAACTAGAAATTTTAAGCTATTATCCCCGTTGTCGTTACGTTCAATAAACAGAAGCCAACAACAAAGCCGTACTCTGAGAGAATACTTGATGCGCGCAAATGTTTAGTAAAACTTTTTCAATCTACCCACAAAGGGTTGCATCGTGTTAATCCGACTATTATGGGATAGTGAATTATTAATACTCCCCCCCAACACACCTCCTCGCCTACATTACACCGAATGTTACTAGAATGGTAAAAATAGTGTGGCCATTAAAATAAAGGGTTGTTATGAACGAACTTGACAGTAATAGTAGACCGCGGCTGTATCCCATACAATTACTTTTTATGAGTTTTGATAACATAAAAACACGTGCGAAATACAGAATGCTAATCAAACTCTTACTGCAGTAATTGCCACTATAACGATTGCCACATGTTTACTTTGTGGAATAGAAAGACCTTACTAATATTATAAATGCGAATGTTTAGATGGATGGATAGATGTTTGTTTGAAGGTATCTTTAGAGCGACTAAACGGATATTGATGAAATTTGGTACGGATGTAGAACATAGTCTGGAAGAACAGAGGCTACTTATTACATTTTTTTTTAATTCTAGTCTAGAGCAACAGTTAGTATATTAATAAACCCTTAATGATATAATATTTAGCTAGGCTAAGTAATTTACACGTAATAATATTATGTTTCTCTCTGAACTGAGTCCTCTTTTTATGTAAAACTTTCGGCTGTACGAACACAGAACAAATATTTTAATTTGTCAGATGGAACAATGATAGAAGATAAACCTTACAATAACCAGTTAATCTTGATAGTATCGCTAATTGCCTCGATTCGCTATGCAAGCGATTTTTTTTAAATAAAGGCAGGCGCACACCCGGTCACGTGCGGACAATGTGCACTCTTCATTGTCCGATGCAGATTGCTTCCGGGTATCGTTTCACATCGAAAAATGTCGAAACTGGACCCGGCTTCTATCTACGCGCCATTTTGTTGTACCTTTGTCCGGGTTTGATACTAAAAAATGTCATGTATTCAAATTTCTAAAAGTTGATAGTTTTGGATACAGAATCATTTTACGATTACATTAATTATATTTTGAGGGAATATGTAGGTGTTCTCTATAAAGCCAATTAACTAGAGACTTTCTGCATACATTTGTAAAGCTTTGAAAATAAAAAATAACCTTAAATCTGAAAAGAAAAAGATTGGTAGAAGTTTTCCATCTTCAGTACAATAAGTAAATATAAAGCAGTTTAAAAAACAATATCTCAACCGCTAGATTCTCGTATCTCCGACGCCAGGGAGGGACTTAGGAGTGTGAGGACAGAGGTGTAGGGGGACGAGAGTTGGGGGCCGGGGAGGTAGGGGGTAGACAGTGACGGAAGCAATTATGCGGTGCGCAGGCGCGCGGGCTTCCTGCCTTCCTAATTGGCGTATCTTTGCTCGCTCGATGTGTTCCTATTATATTCGAGAGGCGTACTGCCGCCGTCACGGTGCTATTGAATTATTTGTTAAATGTTTACGCTTTACTTCTTTATTTATACGAATGCTAATATTTTGGTACTTTATTGTTTTTTTACATGTTATTCATGTCTAAATATCGTTGATGAAAAATTAAAGAAAAAAGAAACAACGATTTCATTGACATACTAAGTAATTTCTTTTGTAGTATTATCAGATAGAAGTAAACAAAATAGATCGTAAGTTTTTTTTTTATCTAGAGCGGTCATAAAAAACTTTGGTTTTTAAACTAGAAAAAAAAATTGAGCATTAATTGTCAATCTTTTAAAATTAGAATATTTTCTTTACTACAAATATAATCACAATGTAGCCATTGAACAAGTTTTAAAACACTACAAAAACAATAACGTCGAGTTATATTTGTGTACGCAACTCAACCCCTTCATTAGCTTTGCTAATGATTCGCTAAATACCCGCCCTCGGGCCTAAGTTGTATTCCCTCGACATCTGCTTTGTTCCAAAACCAAAATCTACTTATTCATATCGTATTGCTAATTTAGAGATTAGGCGCCGCGTTCCGTACGTTATTAAATTATCAATTCCGTTTGTGGGGACGCACCTCCCTAGGGATCTTTGATGCGGATCGCATCACTATGACAACTTTATTTTTTTTCCTCTCAAGAAAAAGGACTGAGGTATTTTCAGCCAGTGTTTTATAGAGATAGTAAAATACGCTGTTATGATATAAAAATATTAAATTTGAAACCCTATACACTATTTTCAGTAATGTGTAAATTTATAAATATTTTTTTATGGTACAAAATAATTCTGACTAGGGAAAGTATGTGCTACATTTTGTTTGTTACTTATAAACTTTGACAGATTATACACTCTTACTTTTTTAATTATTTCTTTAATTTCTAACTTTCTAAAGCGATGTTTGACTTAATCTTAAAGTCATAAGTATCTTATATAGCTTTATTTATGTTTCTATGTACTATAAAAAGTATAGCTAAAGTTTTAATTGATAAGATTGGGCAGTTAACGTTGAGACTTAATGCCGAAGGACGAGGGACTGATTTAATTGAGAATTTGCGTTGGAGATTTCAAATCGTTGTTACAGTTTAGTTATTGTGGCTAACAAATTGATAAGACGTCATCATTTTAATAAGTTTTATTTTATGTAAGTTTTAATTTATCTTATGTTGAAATAAATATTCCCTTGTACATGATAAGAAATTTGTGTATAAAATGAAAAATTTCTAAAAAAAAAGCTTGAAATTTTAAGGCGCCTGACAAGAAATGCATAGCAAAATAAACGGAGAAGAAAATTTCTATGTTTCTTTCTCGACAATTCTACAAAAATATTTTTGACTTAAATGTTATGTAATACAAATTAAAAAGCTATAGTGAATGAATCAGAAGGTTATTGTTAAAGTGCCTTGAAGCGTGATGTCTATAAAAGTGTTATTAATTGAGCATTTAGCACGTAATGATTGTTGACAATGGATCAGTGGAGCGATGAGGAGCCACTCAATTATGTGGTATTCAGGATCGTCTCTGTTTGCACTGAGCTGAACTCGCGAGCTCTCATTGGTTAGCCGCCCTCTCTGATAATATTGGGGTCCACTCCCTAGCTCTTGTTGACGCATTGTGGATAGACCTTTATGTTACAATACATTTGAATCCGTGATTTTTGTTTATTTTTCTAAGTCTCATTTGGATCTGGTGTTTGAGTATATAGTTATTTAACTGTCATTTTACATAATTTATTTCGCCTTAGAGAAAAAAGAACATGTAACATATCCCGTTTTTAAATCTAGCCTTTCTCATACTGATACCTACTCGGACTTTGGTTTATATGTTCGACGCGTCGACGATATTGTGCAAAATATTTGCAGCTTCAATTTTCGAAATGATATTAATCATCTAACCCTAATAAATATTAAGTAATTGCTCGTTTTTAATTCAAGTAATCACACATTACTTAAAAAATATTTGCTGGTTTCACTTTTATAAAGACAAGATCCACGCTAAGCGATCTGTCAACATAACCACGCAGTCTTGCGCCCCTCGTACCCGCATTAATGTTATTATTTGGCAACATTTACTAAATAATTTGCTCGTTAAACGTCGGCCGATACGCCCCCCTTCCCTAACTATCGTATTGTACTCCCTCTCCTCCCTCGGGAGCCAGCCAACGCGACTCTAAGTTTAATTACAAGAGTCGCCTTTGTACTAATATTTGTAGCAACATGCTCTTTTGTGAACGATACGAAATTAATAAACCTATGTTATTGTGTGGACGGATTAGAAAACTATCGACGGACCCGCAACGGATTCAATGAACTCTTATAAGTTTCGTATTTGATGAGTTTTCTGTAAGCTCCCGAAGCGGAGTGATTATTTTTATGGCTGCGCACGGTTTTCGAGGGCGGGTATCGAAACGTGGGTATTACGTATATCGGATTGAAAATGAAACATTTCTATTGAATTTGTGGTTATCTAGACAACTGTGTGTGTCTGTATTGATACTCTTTCACTAGCTGTCGCCCGCGACTCCGTTCGCGAGGAATTAAGAAACTTAATTAGTAGCATATGTGTTCTTCCAGATTAAGTTTTACATCTGCGCCAATTTCACCAAGATCCGTTGAGTCCTTACGGAGATACCTTCTAACAAACATAGCTCCATACATCTTAACTTTTGCATTTATATTAGTTGGATTATAATTTTGGAAAAGAATAAATTTTTATTTTAAATTTTAATTAGAGTGAAAGTTATATGTAGATAAGATGTCTGAATTTAATTTTCCATTACATTCACATTTCCATATGATTTTATGTAGAAAAAATAAATTTATCATTTTACATTGTGTTACATTAAATCATCACCACAATTTACCTTTATTTTCTTGCACATCTTTGTATATATTCATTTTTAATATTTCCTATAAATAGATTATAGGTCTTCAGTATTATGATGTATAATTTTTAGATCGAGGCAGTAAACATTGGTGCATATCCTGACCATTCCACCATTGTCTAAAATCTTCCTTCCCTGGTTTATTCACTGGCTTATTTAACACTTCACAAAGATCGCAGAATGGTTGATAGTTTACAATACTATAAATGTTTGTCCATTTAAAATATTCTTCGTATATAGTATAGTTGTTCAACGACTCATTGATCGCTTTTGCGATATCACTCGGATTTGTAACACGGCCATCGATGTAGGAATTTGGTGGTAGGAATCTATAAGTAAAGAATAAAGAAATATTTCTTTTTATAACATAAGGTGACAAACGAGGGAGCGGCCACCTGAAATCGCTGAAATAGCAAAGTGACCGCTGCCCACAGACATACGCAATTGCATATGTGTTGCTTACCTTTAATCGACGGAGGAGAAGCTGCACAGAAAGAAAAAAAAATCCCTTCCCATGCATCCTCTCATCCGGTAAGTCCACTTACACCTCCCATCCTTTCCTTATAAGAAAGAGGTTGGGGAGGGAAAGAGGACCAAATTAGGCCTCTGGGACACACACTCATCAGACGAAACGCAGAATTGCTTCCACTTTACGCCTGTCTTCTGTGTGGGCGCGGTATTTCACCGGGCGAGCCAGGCCAATTCGTGCGAAGATGTTAAAGCGGGCGCTACCACTGTTAAAATCTATAAAATTGGAATTGCAGCTCATCTTACAAGAAAATATCAAATGAATGCAAAGTGTAGTTTGAAGACGAACAATCTGGCTCAAGATCCTAAGGCTTGATCGCTTTTCAAGGTGCGTTATCCAGAGTATAAGTTGCTATAATAAACGCCCACCTTCGAAAGAAGATTGTTCTACAAAATTAGCTGTAATGCTAGAAAATATAATCACTAAACCTTTAATGAATGACAATATCAGATATTTGTATTTGGTGGAGTAGGCCTAGAAAGACATGGATAGATCGCGTTAAATGTCACATGATTAAGATGGGAGTGAAATGAAGATAGATCGACCTGGAGGACGAAAACTGGTGTGCCAACCCTACGTAAGCGGTATAAGGACAAGATAATTGAAGATCAATGGCATTAAATAACTTTACCTGGTATAATTAGCTCCGCCAAAGATAATAGGCACAGCATTATTATCATACGCTTGTAATATTTTCCTAGTAACGTAATCCTCAACGAAATAGTCTTCAAAAATAATGTAAAACATATATTCGTTTAATGATATCCTGTTATCTACTTCTGTCTTACATTTTTTCGAAATGTTCATGTATATTTTCAGAGAGTAAGAATCTAAATGTTTTTGTAATTTGGATAAGTACGGTCTTGTCCAGTTTTCTAGTTTACAATTGCTATCTATGTAAGCAACGGGTTTAGTTTTTTGTTGAATAATCGACTTTATCTCTTGGTTGACAGGGTTTAAACTTGTATTCCAAGCAGGTGATAAACTTGGGGCTATAATTTCTCTATTAAGGCCCAATACTACAAAATATTTCCATACAATATCCGAGTCCAGGCGATAAGTAAAAGTTAAATTGAAAAAATTGTCGTAATAATTGTCACAGACAATTTTTTTATTCTCTGGTTGTAAAGAAATAAATATGTTCAACATATTCATGTTTGCATTCGGTCTATTTGTTGATTCTAAAAACTTTTCACTGAATAACATCGCGTCGAAATATTTGTAATCTTTGCCGAAATACGTTTTGTCTTTGGTTAATATACATTTTGGTGCGGTGCAACAGCCATAGAAGTGTTTTTTTAAATCCAAATGTTTGTCCCAATTCAATATGTATACGGAATCGTCTGGCCAAGATTTGAGCGAACGTTTGCCGTGGTTCACCACTATGATAGTTGTGACGTCACCCAGCACAGAAAGCGCTTTGCAAACAATCCATATATGAAAGCCCATCACTGTACTAACCAACAAAAGTAACAATAAAGTATTTTTAATGGAAAACATTAAAGCGTTCTTTTTACAAGTTTTCTCCATTTTATAAAACATTATAAAAAATATCAATTTTTGGTGTATGACGTAAAAACTAAAATTTATAAAATGAAAATGTCATATCGAATTTGACATTGTTTTTTTTTAATATATTTAATTTAAGACAATAAGAACATAATGCCACACAAATATTTTGATGAAATAAAAAATATTATTTATCTCAAAAACAAAATTATTACAAATTATTATCAGTTCATATATTCTTCTTAGATTTATAATCTACTAACTAACGCCCGCGAGTCCGTCCACGCGGTATAAAAAAAACACAATTAGTCTACGTGTTCTTCCAAACTATGTTCTATATGCATGCGAAATTTCATCGAGATTCGTTCAGCCGTCTTGGAGATACAAACAAACATTCATCCATCCAAAATTTCGAATTTATAATATTAGTGAGCTGTAAATTTTATAAACAAAAATTTTATTTTAGAATTTTTTATTGACAACTTCATCATAGACAAACAATTTCTACCGGATACGGTGCGATAGGAAAAGATTTAGTATAACTTTGTAATGCGTGGGAGCTAAGTGTTGGTAATGTGGCTATTGTGTATAGGTGGGCATTGGCAAGAAATAATGAAATGCATTTAGACAACCTCACAATTCACTAAAGCGCCACTAAGCTGAGATTAAGATGAGTATCTGGTACAGGACTCGATAAACACTTGAAGCGTAAACACAATTCACCATTTGTGAAATATGGTGACCATATTTTTTTGAAGTTAGGATTAAACTGTACTTTAAATTATCATAGGACCATATCAAGTATTACTAGTGAAATTAAAGAAGTACTGTTCCAGTTTTAGTAGGATTTAATTGACTAATGTCAAAAAAAATTGTTTTATAGTAATCTATAAAACAATTTTTTTTAGAAAAAGTCAGAAATCTGTCAAATGAAAACCGCCATATCTGCCTATATTTCTAGATTATACTGTCTATATAACTTCATCAATAAAATCCCATTAAAATTAACGCTGAAAAGAGATTAAATATTTGAAGTATAAAAAATATTTTGGCTCATTAGTCAACTGCGGATTAGTTAACTTCACACATATCTTTGAATGTCTTGGTATCGAGACGGAATGAGATGATCGGATCGGATCTTCTGGATCGAACCTGGACGTACAGGGTTCGGTCTGGTCCCAAGCCGATTCTCTGATTGGTGCTTTTAACTAAAAATTCACATGAGTAAAGTCTATACGAAGTAAACATAAAGTTGCTTATTCCTCAAAAATGTGGTGAACTTAACAATTAACAGTTACATTCGAGTGATGAAAAAAATATAATGACCGTTCGTGAGTGGACGTCAACATGTCCGAAACTCGAGCGCCATTGTGTCGTATGTACAGTTATTGTTGACGAAATAAATGCATTGTTGAGGTGTTAACTGAAGAGCAAAAACCGATACACAATAGTGTTGTAATTGAATTAAGTCAGCTTAAGAACATCGATGTCCGGAATCGATGTTCTTGGAAATTTCTCGCAATTTAAAAGATTCGCGGATATGCCGAGAAGCAGCTGACCGATAGGCCTATCAAATGTTAATTTATTTAATAAAGAAATAGAAAAAGTAATATACGAGGAAAATATATTTATAGAAAATATAATTTCGTTTCCAGTTCTAATATCAAAATATCATAAAAAAAGTATTTAAAAAAATGCTATGTTAAATCCTAAGTAGGAATTTACTTTTTTATTACTTCTTTTTAAATAAATTAATGAACATTGTTATTCCAAATGAACTTAATTTAAGTATGAAACTACACAATAGGCTAAATAATTATGTATGTTCATAAATCAATAATTTCGCGTACACATAGCTACATTTCATAGCAACAAACAAAGGCAATCAACAGAGAATGAATGCTTTGAAAATATTTACATGATTTAAACGCCTGATTGTAGATTCGCTGCAAAATAACGGACTGAAATAAAATAACGTTTATTGATTTGTTGCAGGAACAGTTTGCATGTATTTTTTTATAATTCCAATAAATATTTCTGTTAGTAGTATTCTATTGCTGATGAAAATGTGATATCAAAAATTATAATATTTAAATTAAACGCAAACTCCTTCAAATTATAACACTAAAATTATGGGAGAAATCAATCTTAAAGGAAAAATCTGCTTTATTACTATTACGAATAAGAAACATATTTGCGTAAAATAAAACTACATTTAAATGAATCGCGGAAACATTCGAGTGGCTACTAAACCGTTCAAAAGTGAGATTTAACCGTAGAGCTCCACTCCCATAGATTTGTACTGCCATATATTGTTGTCCTTGTTTTTTCCAAAGTAACGAAAGGAATGACAATATATATTATTACAAGTGGAAGGGCAGTTGAAACCCAGTGCGAGATTTAACGTTTTGAATATCCTAACAAAGGCCGAGTACCATTGTCGACCATTTTGTTTTGTCAATACGTAAATAGTTCATAAATATTTAAACAGCTTACCAGCTCACCCTCGGAAGTGTATTGTGCGAAAGTTTTTGCGTTCCCTGCAAAAAAAGACAATTGATTTATAAAGTTAATATTATCTTGAGACGGATGTCCGAATAATTTGCGATATATGGTCAGTCAATAAAAATACATTTTTATGTATAAAATTAAAAATACATCCATGAAAGAATATAAATAAGAAAGTATCAGTTTTAATATGAAATTCACATAATTATAATTCATAATTACTTATTCCTTATTTCGAAATGGATATTTTTTTAATTTGTTTTTTTTTTTTAATTATTAAAACTCCAAATTCGAAGTTAAATTAAAAATAGCAACTACGAAATCGTAACAATAATCGTAGGAATAAAATGAATGTACTTGAGGTCAGGAAATAGCATGTTTCTATTGTCTGTACCCAACAATGAACCACATGAGTGAATGAACATATGAGCGAATGAAAGCATGAGTGAATGAACCCATGAGTGAACGAATCAATCACATGTCGTGTAATCCACTTAACGCCGACTTAATGTTAACGCTTACTCGATTGTTGAGATGCCACTGATTTAATGTAATTATGACCAATAGTAGACCGGTAACAAATGGTAATCTTACTAATATTATAATTGCGAATGTCTGGATGGATGGATGGATATTTGTTTGAAGTTACCAGAACGGCTGTATAGATCTCGCTAAAGTTTGGCATAGATGTAGACCATAGTCTGGAAAAAGGCTACTTACTAAGTTTTTTTTAATTGCGCGCGGACGGAGTCGTAGGCGACAGCTAGTTTATTATAAAATTATCACAATTAAATCTAGCAAATTATATGAAAAACAGCGATTAAGGAAATCTTTATCGTTAAAACTGAACTGACCTTAAAAACCTTAATAACAGCGGCTAATTATTGTACCTAACCTTATTTATTAGGTTAGGTGTTGACACTTCGAATGTCACAAATAATCTCACTGGTTGCATCTATATTCAGAAATATTAAAAAAAAACGATTGTATTACAATTTCATCTCAAGCATAAATCTTGAGCATATCTTAAATCTACACTACACCAAATAAAGAGGCTGAAAAAAAAGTATTTATTGTGTTTACATAAATACGTAGGTGGTAACCCGAGGTGGCAACACTTACCGATTCAAAGTATGGGATAAGGGGATCAAATCTTTGTATTCGCCGAGTAAGTGACGCAAAAAATCTTAATAATATTATTGGGTTCTAATTTCGTTTTGTGATTTTTAATCGGGGACATAATAAATGTGTCAGCGAGTGTGAATAGAGGTAGCGAATTGTATTGAATTACTGTTAGGGTTGCCAACATATTTAAATTTATGGGAAAAAATTAAAACAGTAACATTTTCTAACTATGCATTAAATACGAGAATTTTAAGACACATGATATTAAAAAATAAATGAATTTGAATTTGTTAAAATTCCTTTTTAAACCAAATGTTCTATATAACAGATAACTTGTATTCTGAATTAAAATCTGTGCCTATTTTTCGTAATAGACATAAATATAACATAAACTAGTGTCGCCCACGACTCCGTCCGCGTGGATATATAGAAAAGCTTAATTAGTGTAGCCCACCCATGCATTCATCCACATCACATCCATCTAAACGTTCGCATTTATAATATTAGTAAGTTAAATAAAAAGCAGCTCTCCAAGGCATAAATTCGAAAAAAAATGAATAAATAGTATCCTATGTCCGTCTCCTGGCTGTAAGCTACCTCCTCGCCAATTTTCAGCCATATCGGTAAAGCCGTTCTTGAGTTATAAATAGTGTTACTAACACGACTTTCTTTTATATATATAGATTAATATGAATTTGAATTTTCATTGTTTTCTTTACGCAAGTAACAATTGATTGTAACATATCAAATATTTGTGGTAACCCTATTCGTAAAGATGGAATAGTTTTAAATTTTGTTATGCAGAAAAAAATATAGTTGCCTCCTAATAAAATAAAGTTATTCAAGTGTCGCAATGGTTTTGATATACTTGATCGCACTTTTTACAATAAACGATACAAAGAAAAAAATCGCCTTTATTAGCCGTGCGGTATTCGAGTGGCCATTATCGAAAGGACGGGCTACTTTACAAGCTTTTAATACGGAGACATATTTTATAATAATGACAATTAAGTTGTCTTTATTATAAAGTTCCAATCAATACCAACTGTTAATAAAAAATAAATCAATAAAAACTCTTTTGGACTTTCCCATTTTTTTTAAATATTAGTAGATTTTTGTTAATTTACTAATATTTCTTGTACCATTCCAAGTAAGTTCTACGTTTACGACAATAGTCGAATGGCGGTTTACGAACCCCCCGACCAAGTGATCAGAAATCCGTACCCTCAAACATTATGACGCTTAGGGCAAGACACATTAAATAGTTCATCATCAGCTAACTATTCGTCCCCACCGAGGGGCTCGGAGCCTTCCCTAAGTTATGAGGTGACTAGGCCAAATTGAATAGTTGCTAATCAGGAATTGTTTTGATCGTAAAATCATAAAAAAATCGCTGAAACACTCAAATAGTAATAAACATATGTAAAGGATGATATTAGGTATCAATGCAAATTTTACTTCAGTCGAAAACAAAATATAACACAACAATTTTTCCTGTGAAATAAAACAAATTACCTTATCGTACCTGTCAACTAAATCAACGCAGATGGGAGTGAAATCCCCCTCCCAGATAGCTAGCCAGGCTTCCCACTAATTAGCTTCCCCCTTCTCCCCTTTGACTTCCCCTTGGTTCCTGTCTACTCGAAAACAAAAGCAACCTCAAAAAAGAAGCAAAACGTTTGTATAGACGAAAGTTAATGTCCCGGTCTTTCCGACGATTTTTTTTGTGTAAAAAAACTGAAATATAACATGATATATTAATATTTTTAAAAATGAAAAACGCTCTTTAACACGAAATAAATTTGAAAAGAAAAGCCAGAATAACTTATTTTTCTTTCTGGCTTTGTAATATAATTTTTGGAAATAGATATGTTTTCTACCAACCTACTAATATTCCAACAAATTTAATTTTAAATTCCAGTTTATTTCAACCATATCAATAATACTTACAGTAGAAAATATAAATATTATAACAAATTAGGAACATTAGACGTATTTTGACGTGAAACTGCGTCGAGCCAAGACTTCGTAGGGTGAGGGATTATTTTCAAATAAGCGCATTACGGTGAGCTTCGCGCCGAGTGGAGTACATATATAACGGTTCACATGTGGGTATCAGATCAGTGAATCATAGCTCATCTTAATTTGTACATGCATATAGTTATGATTTGCGTTTTGAGCTTAGAGTTGCAAGTCACCAAGCAGGCGGTTCGTCGGGTCACATTTTATAGTACTAGCTTGTCGGCCGATATTCCATCCGGGCCGAATTGAAAAAAATACTTAATTACTAGCCTATGGATTCTTCCAGACTATGTTCTATATTCGTGTATAATTTATCCAGTTCTGTTAAGCCTACCTTTCAACAAACATGCATTCATCCAAACATTCGCATTTATAAAATTAGTAAGATATATAAATGGAACAATTTGCTATAGCCATATAATTTTTTTTAATTATTGTAGCTATAAATTACTTATTTATTTCTTGATATAAAAGATTTAAGAAGCCATTTCTAATTTCTTTTTCAATGTAACAGCAGTTTTATATAAAAGTTGTCGTTACGAAACACAAACAAATTCCTTTACCGGCATATAAAAACGTGTCCCCGCCGTCGGCATCCATTTACATAAAATTACCGTCGCCTTACACCCCCTTACGTCGCCCCCAGCTACCACCTAATACCTCCTTTGTAAGGACCAAAATATTTTGTGCGAACAGTTTTCACAAAGTTTGTCAGCCAACAAGCTACAGCCGAGTTTTAAGTATGCAGAACATTTTACCGCATATTTGAAATGCTATTTTTGTATCATACTCATATTATAAATGCGAATGTTTGGATGTTTGAAGATATTTCCAGAACGGCTGAAGGGATCTTGAAGAAATTTGGCATACATATACTGGAAGAACACATAGGCTACTAATTATATTTTTTTTAAAACCGCGCGGACGGAGTCGCGGGCGACAACTATACTTTATAACTTTACATTGTCGTAAAAATTTTCCGTCGCTTTATATTATTAGTAATGCAATCAAACTGATCAGATAACTTAGGTTACAAAAGCACATAAAGGATTTTCTAAAATAGTATAAATTTTGAAAAGTCCAAAATGTTAGTGATTACGTCTATCTAGTTGTTTAAATAATGATTAACAATTGTAAGACATTTTTTGTACAAAAACTAAGCAACGCTCTACTTTAAACGAACAATTTGTAATTCAAAATAAAACAGTTGTACAAACAAAAGGAAACTATAAAATCAGTAGTACCAACATTAAGAAACTAAACACAAAGGTGGACAAAGAGGCGAGCGGGGCGGAGCGCCACGCCTCCGAACTAGCCGACCATCGACAAAGTCGGTATACGCCAATCTGCATGAATCCTAGACAACGGACGTGCCGCGAATTGACACAGATTGTTCCAACTTTAATTCTGTAGATGAAAACATTTTATTTACTTCCTAAATTGAAATAAAAACTTTTTAAAGTATAAGCTTAATTTTTTAAACAAGTATAAATTTTTAGACTATTTTTACATTACAAATATACTGAACATGTTTTAATTTACTAATTACACTAGTAAATAACAATTTCAAATAAATAAAAGAGAAACCAAACATCGTATTGTAAGAGCCAATTTTTGGGGACTAAAGATTATCCTACCAATAAATCAAGGAGACTAAATTACGACTACACTTTTTGCATTAATTCGAGCCGACCTATGCCCATCTAACTATCTATATAATCAATAAAATTGGAATATCTGTATTTAATATCAAAGAAACATATTTTTTAAACATTTGCGTTACTTATGACGAAAATCTAATTTTTAATTAATTTGTCTGTCCTTTCTGTCCGCAAGTTCCCGTTTGTTTCAGATAATCTCCGAAACGGCTGTGCCGATTTTGAAGGGACTTTTTTTAATTCCGCGCTGATGAAGTCGATGGCAAACGCTAGTTTTATGCATGAATACATTCGTAAATATCCTATCGTCGATTACTGGATTGTGTCGTCCAATATTTTTTATTAAATTACACCTTACAAAATAATAGATACATTGTTTTAATATGCCTTCAAGCCTAACAGAGGAACTAGAACGTTAACATTTTATAATAATGCAATAAAATACAAAAACATCCAAATGTATATTGCATAATTGTTCTTTAGTAAAACAAAGGATGCTCGAACGTGAGCTACGCAAAGCGTAGACTATCTACGTGGCTACGAAGAAATAAATATACAATCTATAATTCGTTTCGGGCGCTTCACCCCGTATCGGCTACAAAGCTAAGCGGGAATTGGAGACAGTCAACAAAATGGCGCATTTAAATGGGCGTCTACTGCATTGTGGAGCTCCCAGCGTCGATATCTCGTGCCTGCCTTGTCGCACTTACACACAAACCTCTTTATTTTCATTCCCCATTCAGTATACCAACAATGCTTTAAAAGAAAAATTATAAATAGAAAATATCGACTTTACTACATTGTGTTAAAGTTCAATTCTATTTGAGAGTGTTTTGTGAGAAAATATTACCATCAGTGAATGTCGTGGCAAATGAAACTGTTGCACGTTCGTTCGTCCTTATCGTTCACGTAACCGACTGGGGTATTTTTATCTCTGCGTCCCTCTCTGGCCTTCTGAGAAGTAATGTGTTATTGCTTGTTGTGATATCTCCAAAATAACAGGGAAGTACTCGCTACGAAGTTGTCATTTGTAACGGTTTTGCTTTGTATGGACTGCAAAAAAATCTTAAATGTTAAATCCAAAATCTTGTTAGTTTTTCTTTTTCTTAAATTATACTAACGTGTTAGCTAGTTAACGGAATCCTGACAATTCTTAACGAGGTGCAATTCACGTTAAATATATTTGTCTCAATAGTTAGGTTACGCTTATTTTCTCACCTTTATTACTAAAATGTACATATAATATTTAAAATGTTTTGATAGTATTTGCGTTCAATGTTCAGTTTTACTTAATATTGTTTTAAAGGTTTGCAGTTTCATCAAAGCAACAAATTTTTCACAGCTCGAAGGCATTGCTGAATTAAAAACTATATATTGTTGACTGACTATTGTTGCATAAAAACTCAGCAAGTACAATTAAATTAAACAATTCAATTCAACAATATGTGCTATCGGTACTCGCGCCTCAAGGCAGGGCGGCTCGCAAGCGGCAGCGCGGTGGGGCGTCGCTAAACAAAAACACGTACACGCGGAACGCGCGTCGGGATTGGTCGCAGGCGGCTGACCCCCGCCAGCGCTCGCCGCGCCCGCCGCTCCCGCAGCGCCCTCAGCACCGCACTGTGTGTCGCGACCTCCGCCCGGCAACATGTGCAGCGGTGCTGACGGCGGGCCCTGGCCCCCTAAAGACGCGCCCAATGTGACCGCCGCCGCCCTCGACCACTATCGACTGCAGCTGTACAACTACGCCGTGGTGGAGCGGCTGCGGCTGTACCCTCCGGCGCCGTGCTACGCGCCCTACGCACCGCGCCTCGCGCTTTCCATGTCCCTGCTGCAGCAGCGCGCGCTACAGCCTGAAGAGCCAAAGCCCCAGCATAGCTACATCGGCCTCATCGCTATGGCCATACTTAGCTCTCCGGAACGCAAGCTCGTTCTCTCTGACATCTATCAGCACATCCTGGACAACTACCCCTACTTCCGCTCGAGAGGGCCTGGCTGGCGAAACTCTATCAGGCACAACTTATCCTTAAACGATTGCTTCGTGAAAGCAGGAAGATCAGCAAACGGAAAAGGACATTACTGGGCGATTCACCCAGCGAATATTGAAGACTTTCGAAAAGGTGACTTCCGGCGACGTAAAGCGCAGAGAAAAGTAAGAAAACACATGGGACTGGCGGTCGATGATGACGGCGAAGACTCACCGTCGCCGCCACCGCAGTCGCCGCCGCCGACGACTCTGCCTCTTCCGTTCTGGGGTGGTGGGCGGCTGCCTGGGGGTGGAGTGGCTCGGAAGCGGCAGTTCGACGTCGCCTCGCTTCTTGCGCCGGACGAGGCTCCGGAGAAGCGTAGGCGGGACAGCAGCGGCGAGGAGGAAGTGGAGGAAGACATCGACGTTGTGGCGAGCGACCAGGAAGAGAGAGTGGAAGAGGAGTCCCGGGCGCCGCTTGCGCCGGCCGCGCATTACCCTCTGCTGGGCGCCTGGTGGCCAGCCCTGGACCCCGCACTGCTGCAGCAGTTACGCCGGCACGCCGCACCCCATACACAGGCGGTTCCAATGCCACAGAGCTCGATAAGCCCCGTAGACCAGCACAGGCCGCCTGATACTTAAACTGTGATGGTGAAATTACGTGACAGCGTTGTATATTATGTGAATATTCAGTATTATCTCCCCGGTGACACTGATTAGTGTTAACCCGCCGTTTAGTCCTATCTACGTGTAGTATTTTTCAATCAGCGCGCGTTGAAGTCTTTTGCAAGTGAAATATAATATTAAACACCCTGTGTTCTTGTGAAAGTTTCCCTCCTTGCAATGACTATTTAAATTGATGTATGTATGTACTTTATACATTTCTATGAGTGTACTTAAGCTGGTGATCGATGTCTACTTAATTGGACTTATTAAGCAAGGAAGTCTGAGAACGACCAAGTGACTGTAGATATATTCCTAGTGCTACTTGTATATATCGTGAAAGGTGTCTACTTATCGTTGTTATAATACTTAACCGTATGTTGTTTATTTACTAGAGGAGCATTGAATTAAATATTATAATACAACAACTCTATTAAATCTCCCAATAAATAGAAAATATAACAAATCAAAGAAATCTTTTATTATTAATATCCTGATAAAATAACACAGTTTAATTTTAGAGAAATTATATAATTCCGAGTATTAAGAAATTACTGATTGATTCTTAGTGGAAAGAAAAAAATTATAAGTTTTAAATTCAGCGCATTAATAAATACAATGAAAAGAATATTAATTAAATGAGTTAAACATTTATCATGTTTAATTAGCTTAATTATATGCAGAGATATGTAAAAATATTATATAATATGCTAATATATTGTGTCAATACATACAAGATGTATTGGAATAAAATTGAACGGTAGTACGAGAATATTACCTTTTTTAGGGTACCGTACCACGAAAGAAAGAAAACGGAATCTCTATCAAGACCCTTTTTTGACATAATACAAGGAATTTAATTATTAAAATTTAATTTCTTTATAATCATTAACAAGGTAACAATAAAAAAAATTAACTGGTATAATTGGTATATACCTATTTATAATTGGTACAACTTTAAACATTCTCTTATCAATATTCAAACTTTAACTTCGAACTTTACTAACCTGAACCAAGGATGTGGATTTAAAATTATTTCCGTTTAAACAACAAAATTTCTAGAACTTATAACCTACGGATAACAAAAAAGTATTAACGACTAAAGAATGAACTTTTACCTTTTCAATACTTATCTTTAGCTTTTAAAAAGATAATCTACTTAACTTTGTTTAGATTAAAAACAATAATAATATTAACAATGTATATTTTAGTTTCCCACGCAACTTGCTATTGTACTTAAGTAATTAACATTGTGGTTAGTTAATGTTGTACTTAGAAATGGAATTATGTTATTTATAAACATTCTTTTTAGGATTACACGTGAGGTAAGTATTTTTAAGAAATGTTAATAACTTCAAGACATATGTATGTAGGTATAAATTGGCTAAGAAATAACATTTATTTTATTTTATGTATATTTGTATGTACAACATAACTCACGCCCCTATTCAGAGATCTTGGACCTCTGTCCGTTGTCCTGATACATCTCTCTCGCTTCTTCTACATTTATATAGAAGAAGAGAACAAATGAATGGATAGCTAAGTATAATTATAATTGAAGTACTTACACCGTTTTTTGGTATACCACTTTATAGAATTCGTTATAATTTGTGGTTTTGTCTTAACTCTCTGTCTCTTTATTAATCACTAGCTGTCGCTCGCGACTCCGTCCGCGTGGATATAAAATAAACTTAATTAGTGTAGCCCACCCATCCATCCATCCACATCACATCCATCTAAACATTCGCATTTATAATATTAGTAAGTTAAATAAAAAGGAGCTCTTCAAGGCGTAAATTCGAAAAAAATAAAAAGAAATGAATAAATAGTGTCCCATGTCCGTCTGCTTGCTCTAAGCTACCTTATTACCAATTTTCAGCCATATTAGTAAAGCCGTTCTTGAGTTATAAATAGTGTAACTAACATGACTTTCTTTTATATATATAGATTTCGGTATGAAGAAAATTTACTTCATTTGTTTAACAAAATATGCAACAAATTAATCAAATTTTAATCTATATAGTGTTCATTTTTTAAATCGTTTCATTATGTCTACAAACAATTGACATTCGACAATTGAAACAAAACAAACGTCGGTTTAAACGAATAAGTCAGTTTAATATCTTACTATTATAAAATTATAAATTGGAATTTTTAGATGGATGGATGGATACATGTTTGACTGAAGGTATCTCTGGAACGGCTCAACGGATCTTGATGAAATTTCATACAGATGTAGAACATAGTCTGAAAGAATCTTACGCTTATTAAGTTTAATATAATTCCGCGCGAACGTTATTGCGGGTAACAGCTAGTATATAAATATAGAGATATGAATTTATGTGAATTCAGATATGAGGACTGATAGGTATCTTACAGCAGGTCCAAGGTTATTTACTTCTTCAGCGTCTTAACAAAAAAGAGCTAAATATTTCTTTAGTATATCCTTATCTCTGGCCAAGAATGATGTCATAGGTTGGTACTGAAATTGTAAACATTTCCGGTTACATAAAATACAAAAGCATTGTTACCCTCAAAGATAAGATATTGAAATCTGTAAATCTTCTAGCACCTGCTAAAGAAAAATCTCACGTTGTATTGTTGATTACATAATGTACACAAAATATGCTTGGTTCAGATTCACATATCAGTTTGAGAGCGTCAGTAACCCAGGTGTTAAGCACTCAATGCAATCTGCAGGTCTTGGGTTTGTATCCCGCCGTGTACCAATGTGATTTTCGGTTTTTCCGATTTACATATGTACATTTATCCGACGTTGTTACGGTGAAGGAAAACATCGTGATGCAACCTGCACATATCTGAGAAGAGATTCAAAGATGATCGAAGGCAACCAACCGGCACTGGGCCAGCGTGGTTTACTATGGCCTAGTTATCAATGTTATTACAGCAGATTAAGTTATCAAGGAATTAAACTAAGCTGTCAAGTTACTCACATCCTTGAACATAACCAAGTTACACGTGTTACTTGGTTACTATCTGATTTCTTATCAGGGGTTACGTACAACAAAAGCATTAGTGGTAATCTGCCGATTGGTAACAGGTTGGTTCGCAGTGTTAGGAAGGGACCAATGCGTCAACTTCCTGGGTATTTCAATATTGCTACAAAAACAGAGCAAGTTTAATCCGGGATTATCTATAGATATTATCATTGTTACAAAGTTTTGTATGAGAGTTTGTCAGTCACTTTTTTTTTCAACATTATGAGGAATAGAATCATTTCTTTAAAATTGATCATTTGAAATTGATTACAATTTGATTGCATTCTGTTGTCTAATTAGTTAATTTTGAGGATTAGTTAAAAGAGCGTTGATGGATCAAGTGAGCGTCGGCTATTGTTTAAAGCACTTGACTGTAATCTGCTGGTCCTGGGTTCGAATCCTGCCATGTACCAATGTGTTTTTGCAATTTACATATGTACATTCATCCGACGTTCTTACGGAAAAAATCGTGATGCAACCCTTACGTATCTAAGAAGAAATTCAAAGATATTTATGAAGTAAACCAACCCGCACTGGGTCAGTGTGGTTGACTATGGCCTAGTCACCCCTAACTTAGGGTAGGCTCCGAGCCCCTATTGGGGAAGTATAGAGAGCTGTAAGGGAAGTATGATGACTGTTGAGTTAATTTTTGTAAATAAAATTATTGACAACGAAAGTAAGAAATATAATAATGAAAAGATCGAACGATTTGGTTGTCCATATGTTCTGAAAAATTCCAAAGCCGTCCTAAAATATTTACACACTTCATTTTCACTACAAATATAAATGATTATTGAACCGTAGAGTCAGTACAGTAGAGTCATTACAGCATTCGTGTGTAAACACCTTTACATGTGTATTTGAATTAATTCGAGACAATTGTAATGCGGAGTGCACACGCAGTCGTTAGCCGCGGCGTTTGGCAACGGGCGGCCAGAGGGCGACCGTCGGGGGTCGACAGGTCTGTGGGGTCCATTAGACGACATTTACATGCGTTCCCGACCCCCATGTCACTTCAAATGAGCTTATTCGATTAGTCGAGCCAACGCTTGCTATTTACACGCTTGCAATTCCGTTTATTTAGAATTGTCGTTTGTTAATAAAGAACATATTGTTATTTGAATTTTTACCATTTATTTTAATACTAGCTGTATCCCGCGACTCTGTCCGCGCAGTTTAAAAGAACATAATTAGTCTATGTGTTCTTCCAGACTATGTTCTATATGTAAGCCAAATTTCAATTCAGCTGATCTGGAGATACCTTCAAACAAACATTCAACCATCCATCCAAACATTCGCATTTATATTATTAGTAAGAAGTAAGATTCGTTTAATTGTCATGACCAAAATTTAGTTTTTCGAACATTGTACCAAAAGCGTTCCGTTAACCAAAAACGACTGGGTATATTAATTACATTGCACAAATATGTTTGTAGATTGTGATTTCAACGCCATTAGTACGACAATATAACTAAAAGTCAAGTGTTTATCGTCACATTTCCTTCAGTAAAATGTTCGCTTACCGCACAAAGAAAACAGGATAAAAGAGTCCATTAGGCGCCCAGTGAGGTGTGAGGTTGACCGGGTCTCCTCCAGTTCGTAGATAAAACGTCGCCCTCCAATCTAAACGCATCCAATTACCGATGTCGACAGTACAACAATGAACGTAGCAAATTACCGCTTTTTAAGCGTTTCAAAAGCCATTGTCGAATGGTTTGCACCGAAACAAACGGCAACAATAAACATTGAAAAGGAAAGTGTAGTATTTTGCGATGTGAACAAGTATAAAAGGCGAATTGGTAATAGGTGTTAATGCGGCGAAATCAGGGAGCGTTCTGAATGGTGTTCGCGCCCCGGGCGCCGCGCGGTGCGTTCGTTAGCCCAATATTTTTATAACAAATCATCGAATCGGCAATCGTTTTGTTTAACGTTTGTAACGAACTATTGAAGTATACAACAAAGTCTCACGATGTTTACACTTCAATAACTAATTGGAAAGTAACTTCACGAATAAGATCTTTTTATCGCAAAATAAGCATAGGGTTATTTTAACTTATTTTTAAATGCATCTTTAGATTATTAATTTAAACTTAGCTTTGAGTGACAAAATAATAAATAATAAAGGAAAGATATAAATTGGATAGCTAATATTGGATAGTGTGAATAACGTTTTTAAACTGCACCTAAAGATAGAGTTGGTCTTCACTATGCTATTTGCGTTATTATTAATCTGCGTTTTATGAAAATAATTTACGTCTTATTTGCTTGTCACAACTATTTAAGTAAGACAACAAAAGGCATGCTACTAATAACTATATCGGTGAATGGATTGATAGCGAAGAGTCTCGACCAACATCTCAAGAAGCTCTCGCTAAACAGTTGGATTAAGGGAAACCGCACGCATCGTGAGAAGGTTCCTGTCTCTGCAGCCCTG